TTAATTATATTTCTATGTATCTCAATGAAGATTTTGAGTTACTTTTGATAAATTCACGTACTTTTTCAGCCGTTTCTCACGTTTCTCACAAATTTTGGCTGGCCAACATGTTCGTCGTCTTCCAGCGACTCACGACCCTCTTTGAACCGTGTAAACTACTCGTGGACTCGGCTACGAGATAAACAATCATCACCATACAAATGCATCAACATAGGATGAGTGTCGCTAAATTTTTTACCAAGTTTAACACAGAACTTAATATTGGCTCTTTGTTCGATGCTCATTTTTCGACTTTGAGCGCCATAACTCCGCGTGAAGTGATTCGATTGTCATGAAATTTTGACTGGACATCAATGAAAGATGTACATATCCAACGCAATAGATGGCGCTACTTGTATAGGATGTCTTCCAAAAGTCCTGTTTACTTTGCGACACACCTTGTATTAGAATTGCATGGGACTCGTTGCTCTCAAAATTTTTTGAATAAATCGATAACATCTTTCAGCGAAATACAGGCAGATCACCTAAAAATTTTGATTACTTTTATGCTCCTTTAATTTTTTTGAGTAGTGTATCACCAATATGATCAACAGTCTCCATGAGAGTATGGCTCTACCGTCAACGGTATTTGAGTTAACAGGGTGTGTAATCGTATTAAATGTGTGAGGTACCAAAATGATGTTACTATTTCCTCAATCATTGATTAGATACGTAGTAGCCACTATAGCGCCATATGATTGAAGGTTGCCTAATTTTCAAACATTTTTTAATTGTATGAAATTATTACAATTCTTACGGAAAGTACTAACCTGTGTACTATTTTGATCAAAAGTCTCCGTGGCTGAAGATTGGTATATCAATGGTTTTAGGGCCATATCGTTAGTCGTTCCTACAACTGTAGGATGACTTTATGGCTGGGTTATTTCTAGATTTCTACAGTTCCGTGTCAGTGCTCTCCTAGTCATATTTTCTTTTTGAATTGTAAGAATTTTTAGACTGATAAAACAGATGATTAAAATCAAAAGCATGAACAATGTGATGCATATAGATACTTTAACATTACCTCAAAAAAGAGCGCCTTTCAGAAGGACCGGAAAAACTATGAAAATCAAGGAGGCGATAAAGGTGTCCTACATTTATTGTAGGAACGACTGACGATACGGCGCTTAGAGTTAACGGGTTCGAGATTTTAGTGGAAAATAGGGGATATTCCCTAGAATTTTACTATACCATTTTGATCAAAAAGGCTTTCAAGTATCAATGGCTAGCGAGAAAGCATGAGAAATTTAAAGGAATTATTCCACTATCAAACGCCAGCTACCGACCGTATGGTCCCTTTAATCGTTCAGCAGAATAATATTAGTGCCGCTCCCAAGCTTCTTCGACATATCTATTGGATGTTGGGCCAGTTTTAGCCACATTTTCCCATCGTTTCAACACATTACCTCATAGAAAATAGTTTACCGTTCTAAGCAAAAAGTATAAACAGCTGTTTTCCAAGAATACTTACTTAGCATACTTAACTGTCAGTCAATTTGACGAAATCCAAAAATGTGTGAATAACATGTTTGAAAATCAAATAACATCCAGTAGGTGGTCATTATATAAACTACTAAGTTTATAATTATTGTTCATGGAAATCGTAAAACCATGTTGATGTCTTTAGCTAGCTTGTATGTTTTCTAATCTACTATGCTTATGCACCCTGTACTTAAGGGACTTTGGACTATATTGGTATGAAAACATCATACTAAAATTTCAGTCAACAGAAAACAATTCACCTAAATTTCTCCTGTCGTCTTCAGCCATGCAGATCACCGACGTGCTGTAAATATTAACTGTTTTAACATTCAGAATATACAGTATGAGTTCAAGGCAGGGTTCATATAATATTTATATGGATGTATATACGGTATTAGGGATTTCAATGTTTCGCAGAAAAAATCTTAAACTAATCGACAAATTGTAGAAATAAATCACCCTATAGTGTTAAATATCATGTTTCATTTGAAACTTATGATGAAATTAAGGTAACCACCAATATTTAGGCTAAGGTCTGCTTGAAAGTTAAGAAAATGTATACTCCCGTGGCGTACTCCGTTCTCAATGCTCACTACAGATATCTGTATATGTAACAGGTATAACAATATACAAACACTCTTTGAATCGCTACATTCACATTATATGTTCATAAAAAGAGTCACTAAAAATTTGTATAATCGCATAAAATACACGTTTTCAGTGGTTCCTGAAAATTGTGTCACCCTAACCTGGCACATCTCAATTTCCATATTTGCTTGTAAATGATATAATTTCGCGATTTAATCTTGATCACTGCATAGCAAGTCATGGAATGAAAGTTTGAAACTAGAGCGACTCAGCCTACTCAAACCAGGAACGCTCATGTAGTTTCGGCAAATATCCTTTTGCCAATGGTTCCGGTATATATCGTGGTAAGTATATCTCCGTGAATACTAATGGTGCATTACTGTATCTATGTAAAAGATGACGATTCTCGTATTCAAAAGTCATGGATCACATACATTGATATATAAATTAATATATCTTAATTTTTTTCAAGGTCATGTACATTTTTGCCATTACTGTCTCTTCTCTGACAGTTTCATGCCAATTGTTTTTCCTACTCTTCTTTTTTTTCTGCTTTTTGTCATTTCTGTATGATAAAAATATTATAAACCATTAAGGAACGGCTGGGACCCGCTATCAAAGAAATGTCTACCTTCCAAATATAAGCGACACCCTGAGAGGTCCGTAACCTCCCAATCTATAGAAGTATCTTGTTTCAAGACCGTTAAAACTGAAGACGTTATTTTTGATAAAGAACTATTGAATTTATTTAGCTAATGATATTTATATCACATTTCAATTATCTTTTTACTGTTTAATTGTCACCCCCTGTCCACACGATGTCCCTTGGTACATAGAAAAACTTTCAAAATCAGAATATTAACTGACCCTGTCAAATATTATCACATATTATAAATATAGTCATGTGACATACTGAATATGAAAACAAAATGAGTTTTTCCTTAGTTGACACTGAAAACCCAAATACCGTATATTCACCCACATAGTTCTTCCAGTCGACTTGGTAGTTTCTTCATCAATGCACTAAGAAATAAGAGACAAACGATTACCGCTTATCTTTCCTAACTAAGGACAAGTGAGATCTGCGCAAGCCTCGAATACAACTGCTATTGGTTCTTGCATACATCAAGTAGATGATAGGGACCGTTCTTTTTATTCACTTTTAGGTAATGCTCCAATTTTAGCACAAACTGTTGACCTTGTAAACTAAATAGCATAGGTATCCAGGCGGTACTATATTTTATGAGGAAGATCAACAATGGGTAAACTCAAAGCACAAGCCCAAGCCGATGACAAAACGATTGTCATACTGATAGTGTCAAGCACAGTTACGGAACGCTCATACCTTACGACAATAGTTATTTTCCTAACAAGTGCGGGAAGCAATACTTTTCCGCGCACCATTGCAATGAAATTCGGCCAGTAGTCCCTCAAATAAGTCCAATACCGTGCGGCGTCATGAGCGCCATGAGGTTTCAAAAATTGAGGAATGTCTCCGAATTCTATTGATTACATTAACCTATGACAAGTTAGGAATCTCAGACCCTCTTTGAACTGTTGACATTTTGAAAAGATTCTGAAGTTACGTCAGCTTCTCTTCTCCTTGACTACACTTTCAGGATATTTCAGTCACCATCATATAAGAACTACAAACAGATCGTCGTATCTTTATTCTGTTCCTTGTTGTCTGGGAATCTTTTTAAAGACTTCAATGAATACGCAACCGAAGGCCGTCAATTTTTCGTTATATTTTTCTATGGATTACAAATATTTACCCGTTTGCACTTTGTCTGCATTATTATTCGGTTAAATTTATTTTTGCTATTCATGATATACTGCGCGGGCTAGAATTTTCGAAACTGAAGCTGCTTTGGTCAGTCGTGTATAGTTGGCCCGTTATTGTGAGTAGTACTCAAACGCTCTGCTGTAAAAGTAATGACAGGTTTTACTACACAAATAAAAGGTGTACCAAAATTCACTTAAGATTTGAAATAAAATGAAAGAACAATTTGTTTTCTTTGGATTCTGTTTTACTGAATCATGAAATACACAGGATAGAGTAAATCAGCACTCTTTTGCGGAAACTATTCATGACCAATTTGCATAAATGTGGATGAATTTCGTTATAGCAAGATGAAAATTCCTCTATCAGAGTACTAATTTATAGTGGTTTGTTGTCATAGATACCTTCCTTCAAATAAACCCATAAAAAAGTAGAGTTAGGTCATAGGACAGCTGCAATCTTCGAAATGTCTCACGCAGCAAATGAATTATTTCACGGAGTGTGTGTGCCATGTGGCGTTATCTTGTTAACCCAACACTTTGTCGACATCAGTAAAATCCATTTTTAGGCAAAAGCAGTCGACACACAGGTCTAGGAGGTCGATTCTGATAAGCGAAACGAAAAACAACCAGAAAATGTCTCTTGCAGTAATTGATTCGCTTCACGGGAAATAAGACATTTAGCACCGTTTCTTGAAGCCACATGTGTTATTTAAGCAAATTGTTCAGTTTAGGCAGAAAAATATATTCTTGCATTGAAAAGGAAAATCCAACGCTGTATCACCAAAATTCGGCCACATTGACGCAAAATGGTCAAGACAAATATCGATAAAAGAATATAACGGTACCAGCAAAGCCGAAGAGGCCTCACACATATCTCTATACCATGTACTTTATGATTCAATAAAAAAATAACTCTCCAAGGAAGAGATCTTCTATATCCGAAGTCGAGCGTGAGTTTTGAGGCACGTTGGCTACAAAGAAACATACTTTCAATCACTATGCAGTAGAAGCACAAGCTTCTGCTTTTTCCTTTCCACCCCTCAAACACCAAAACCCAAAACCGTGGAGTCAGAACAACACTGGTGAGCGCGCGTCTCTTTCAGCAGCATCCTCAGAGAGCAACGTCTCCACAACCACTTTCGACGTCGACCTGGGGGTTAGCGACGCCCTGGAGAACCCGCTGGTGGACGCGGCTAACGGGCTGGAGGCGCACAAGGGCCTCGATCATATCAGCGTTACAGTGCTCAAGAACAAAGACAAACCACAGTTGGGCACCAGGTGGTACCCGGAAGATACGGACGGTGGTGCGTTAGATTCAACCGTTGCGGGTGGAGCTGGAAGCTGGACCCATCACAGACACGGTAGGTGCAGATGATGGATGTTGTTACGTGGTACGAGCTGAATGTGTATTGCTTTTAGTCTAAGAAACGTAGAAAAATCGTGGAAATTGCAACGCGACAAAATATTGGATGAAAATATGCCACAGGTGATCCTCTACCAAAATATGTGTCGTATCAGGGAAAAAAGTTTGTACGTATTTCTAATTGGCGAAAACCAGGTCAAGAAACCATTTCCATTTTTATATATTCATATTTTATTGTTAACGAAATGTAACTCAGCTCAGTGTCAGATCTGAAGCTTATGCGGTTTTCATATCGATAATCCCCAATGAAACCACATACTTCGCAGTTGAGTCATTTATTTTAGCAGTGAGTAGGTCTGATCAAAAGAAATGTTTTTTCCTATAATATTTTCTGGTAAAATTAAAGTAACAAAGTTATAGCCCTTTAGAGGTTTGAGTACCGCCCTGTCTCAATAATAATATTATGTGCTCGTGTTTGGCAACAACGGATATAATCCGCCTTACCGGAAACAAAAGAGCGAAAGAATTTGAAACGCTTATCACGATGTTTTTACTGCAATTTTATTCAGTTGTATTCAGTCAATGTGTCAGTCGGTAACGAGTGAGCGAATAGTGGTGTTTGTTGCGTGGCTCAAACGAAATAAACAATGGCACATGTTTACGAAAATGCTGAACTTGTGGACATGATTCTTATTTACAAAATGCTGCCGCGGCATCACGGATTTATGCGGATCGGTTTCCCAATCGAGTGCAACCAACTCCTCGTGCTTCTGTTAATGTAGTACAAACGGCTTGTGAATCAGGTGACTAAGACCTCACAGGGGTGCTCCAAGACCGCACGATCAAATAGAACTAGAGGAACAAATTTTAGAATTAGTAAATGATTTATTATTATTCACGTAATTCTCACGTTTGGGCTATTGAAAATCCCCATGAAATAAGGGAAACTAATTTTCAACAGCGATTTGAACCAATCAACCTGTGGGCTGGAATTGTCAATGGAATTTTAGTGGGGCCTTTTGAATTACCAAATCGCTTAACTGGTGAAAATTATCTTGATTTCTTGCAACACAATTTGCCTGGTTTACTGGAAGATGTGCCTTTAAATATTAGACAAAACATGTGGTTTTTACAAGATGGGCACCCCTCCATTATGCAAGAAATGTGCGTGAATTTTTAAATAGACAATTTAGTAATCGTTGGATCGGCCGTGGCGGTGTTGTACCTTGGCCGCCAAGGTCTCCTGTAGACTTTTGTTTGCGGGGTTGGCTGAAATCTCTAGTGTATAAAACCCCGGTTAATACCCACGAAGAATTACGTGCTCGAATTGAGGAAATGAGTACAGTGAGAGAAATCAACCAGTGATTTTATTGCGTGCTTGTAAAGAGAGATGGCTAAGACGCGCCCAGCTGTGCGTCGAGCAAAACGGAAATCATTTCGAACAGTTTTTGTGACATGCTTTTGGGCGCACAGGTCCGCACTGAAATACTTGTCGGGAGGATACTTTATAAAACAAGGTAACATTTTTTTTATTTTTTTTTTTCATTTTTACACACATATTTTGGTTTATCTTCCTTCTACAATTATTATCTGGAAATTAATGACTCAACTTCAAAGTCTATTTGAAATTCTTGTTAAATGTAGTATATGTATACGTTTTGGTCACAACGGTGACATTTTTTAGTACACTTTCTTAGAATCCGGAATCATGGCTTTGCTCAATCTTGACATGTTACGGACTTCTCAGGCTATTGTGGTAATACACTATATAGGAATCTGAACCAAGTGTCACCTGGAAGTCATATAAATAAAATATTGTTTAAAGTGTTATGTACTGGAGAAGATCACCGTTGTGACTGAACTGTGCTACATTCGAGAAGAATTTCAAATATATGTTTGGTTTCAGTGTCCAGATAGTAATCGATAACACCAGACTTCTCCCGATGGGGAACTAGCAACTCAGCTCCTTTATCCGACCCTGAAATACCTACAACAGGTTTTGGAATGCTCAAATCGGACAAAATCCGGTCAGTTCTCTAAAAAATATTACAGTTTTTTTAATATTGAGCAGTAAGTAAAAACAAAATTAGGATTGTAAGAGAACATTAATATACAGGGTGACTTCGAAGTTGAGTCATTTATTTTAACAGTGAGTAGATCTGATCAAAAGAAATGTTTTTTTCCTTTACCATTTTTCTGGTAAAATTAAAGTAACAAAGTTATAGCCCTTTGGAAGTTTGAGTACCGCCCTGCCTATTATATGCTCGTGTTTGGCGACAACGGATATAATCCGCCTGACCGGTTCATCGCATCGGAAACAAAAAAGCGAAAGAATTTGAAACGTTTATCACGATGTTTTTCGTCAGTCGATAACGCGTAAGTGAATAGTAGTGTGTTGCGTGGCTCAAACGAAATCAAAAATGGCACATGTTTACGAAAATGCTGAACTTGTGGACATGATTCTTATTTACGGGGGGGCAGTCTTTACAAAATGCTCCCGGATGCATCACGGGTTTATGCGAATCGGTTTCCCAATCTAGTGCAACCCACCCCTCGTGCCTTTGTTAATGTAGTACAAAGGGCTCGTGAATCAGGTGACTTAAGACCTCACAGGTGAGGGCATGCTGCTCCAAGACCGCACGATCAAATACAGGTCCGCACTGAAATACTTGTCGGGAGGATACTTTATTAAACAAGGTAACATTTTTTTTTATTTTTTTTTTATTTTTACACACATATTTTGGTTTATCTTCCTTCTACAATCATTATCTGAAAATTAATGACTCAACTTCAAAGTCACCCTGTATAAATTTCATTTCTATCTTTCAGATAAGGTAAACGAGAGTAGAATTAATCTTATTTGATGATGAAATGTGTACTTTGTAATAAATGTAGTATACTTATAATGACTTTATCTAACCAATGAATATACTTCAATCAATCGAATGTGTAGTTATTGGATATACGTTGAGTAGTTACAAAAATTGGACAGTGATATTTAACAAAAAATGTCTTAAAAGCGCATGGATTTGAGTATAGCAGAAAAATGCTTAATCATTCACCAAACTTGTATTCACTGCTTTGAACATTTTTAATAGTATAAATGGCACATTTCAAATATATTTCGAGTCAAAAAAATTTTTTTTCCATCACCACAAAATAGCAGTTCCTTTTCAGAGAGACTAGAAGTGAGAGTTGCTCAAACGAAAGTCAGAAAAATGATAAGTTGAAATTGACTCTTTTTACCGCTTTTTTTAGTATCTTGAAAAATTTTTGTACGAATAAACTGCCCCAAAAATTGATGTGTATGTATTTTAGAGTCGAGGAAAAACGAAAAAGAAAATGGAATGATGAATGAATTTTGAGTCAATAAAAAGTAAATACAAAGTCTTTTTTCTGGTATGATCAATATTCTTGTGGAAAATCCCACCAAATACTTTTCACAGAGTACTTATTAGCTATCAGTATAACTTCTGCCGTATTCCTATCATACCCAAACCCAGTACTTAGAAGATGAAAATCTGATTTTTTTTGAGAGATGATACCTGGTTTGATGGATGACATAAAGTGGTGCACGAACTAGCATTTCCTAACTTCAACTGCTTTGGCTTTGCCTCCCTGGAACAAAATCTTCAAAAAAGGAGGAGAGAGGACAATCAGTAGAAAAAAATTCAACAGAACCTTTTGGATTCAAAAGATGTAGTCCTTAAAAGTATACACGCTTAAAAAAGTACTCCATTGTCTGCAAAGCTATTGGACTAACTATTTCTCAAATGATTGTTTATCTCTCCGTAGATTGGAAAGGAACTCGTCCTTTTCATCCTCAAAGTTTTAAATCCCTGATCAACCGTCAAATAATGGAAAAAAAATTTGCTCCAACTTGCAAATAGGCTATCAGCTTTTTAACAAAATAATTCCCTTAAGATGCAATCGTCCACCTTACTACTCAATTACTTATGTTCAATTACCTTCGGTTGTTCATTCAAAGCGAATGAAATTAGGACTAACTGTTGTAATCAATTGTATTATTTTTTTCCGTAATCTAAACGGTAATACTTTTGGAAAATAACTTTATTCTATGGACCACAGATATGGCATAACATAGAATCCATGGCTCGAAATTAACTTTCCAGGCGAAGATTCGAACCTACGAACCTTCAAGTCGCTGAATCAGCAGCTCGCTGGTCTAATCACTCGACTATCCAGCCCGTATCTTAACTAACCTTTACCATCACATTATTCTGGATTACTTAATAGGCATATTATAATCGGCCTCATTATTGTTTCTCAATAACTTGAGCTTTGCCGGTCAATGATTCAAAAATTCTCGATACGGCTGAGTGTTGTGCGACAGTGAAAAGTCTTGGTAATAGAACAAACATATCTGAATGTAAATTTTCCGCCTCATTTGACCTTCAAATGTCGAATTACTTATCAACAAGTTCACGGAACACTTAAACGGAAAGATGTCCACCTATCCGATTCCGCAATGAAAAATATGTATTATTATCTGAAAAAACAGACTTTACATTCATATGTCTTTGAAGGCTTATATTGGAAAAATACTATAAGTTTGTTATCCAGTGTTTTAACTGCTTCTGATAGGTTTTCAAAATTTAGACGTATGCATATGGTAGTAGAAATAGAAAGATACATTGTTTCGTGCAGTCATGTACAAGATTAATTTGATACAAGCTTGCATTGTCTCATAATGATTCTACATCTAGTCCTGCGGGAAAAATCATTCTTATCATGAGTATGCTGCCTCACTCAGTGACTTGCACATAATTATGTTGAATCGGTAGATTGGCCACTGCGAGATAGGCTTTTAGATTAGAAGTGAACTTCATAGTATATTAGTGAATGTCATAACGAGCACGTTCAATTACTACTCAAATATTACTTTGGCTTCATTGCTTATATACTTAATTATACGCTGCTTTGTTCATCGATCATCACCCACATCAATCTTTATATCCTAAAAAAAAACGCACGTAT